CAGTATGCAGGCGGTTTCAACAAGGGCGCTGAAGACTTGATGATTATAGTTAACTGTTATCGAGAACATTAATGATCAAGGATTAACAAAAGAGAAGACTCAGAAAAAACTCTCCGTAGCAGGAATAACATGTAGCACCAGGGTAAAATAAAACTATTTCCTTACTGCCAGTTGGTGCGATTCCAATGAGTACCATTCTAAGACTGCCGCGCATAGTTGAACAGACAGCGCTTAAACTCCCCCCCCCCATATTTAACTATTAAACTTACTTCTTCACATTACAGGAGTTGTTGTTTAATTAAAGTTCAAGAAGCTGGAGGCTAATTTTGTTCTTGCCATGAGACCATTACATGAATGCTGAACGTTGAGGAAATGCGTAATGCCATTGCAGCGTGCATGTTCTTAAGTTGGGCGTTCGCGACATGCCAAAGATCACAGATTAACAAAATGATTGTTGAAGCAGATTTGCTGGAGCTTAGTATCAGTGCGCGATATGTTGGAGCGTAGATAACTTTCCTTACTGAAAAAAAATGAAAGAATTCATGGATTTGCAGTGCCTCATCTGCAAAAAAAATTTTATGCCAACAAATTGATTGATGTCAAAATGTGCGTGCTTTTATTTCATAGTCCAAAAAATTCATGCCGAATACAGGAAAGTTTCTAGCATTATGCTTTATAAAACAGCTTAGTCAAAGAATAGAAGAAATGATATTTAAGTGTACAATTAATATAATACTTTTCCAGTAGATTTTCTAACATATGTTGGCATTGGAGAATTTCTGGCAACGTTAAACAAAAATCAGTCAACGTAATTGGTCGAAGGTAGGGTGAGCAGCGTAAGAATGGAAGTAAAACGCTCCCATGAGAAAGTACCTCAAACATCCATTTGTTTAAAGCGAAAAAGTGCTGCAGCATACCATCCAATGTAAATATCCACGCAATGAAGTATGAGTCTGTTGTTCGAAGAATCTTGAAAGTGTGCTTGAAGATAAATGATGTCTAAAGCATTATGCCAATCAGCCAAGATTCTACGTACCTTCTATTACTGAATTAATTATCCGGCCAGGTAGTCGTCCAGTGCTTGACAAAAGAACTTTATTTTTGCTTTTATTGATTAATGACTTTATTATCTTGAATTTTTTAAAATTTCCTTATTTATAAATACCTATACTAAAGATAGAAAAAAACCTATATAAATTCCTATACTAAAGAAACTATATTCATTTGATAGTACTAATATAAATATCTACTGTTTACCCTTGCAGTAAATGATTGCTGTTTTACATTTAGTTCTAGCTTTCTTCGCTCAAAACATTCGATTTATTATCAAAGATTTGAAACAATAAAAATTTTGAAATATATTTCTGGAAATAAACGACGAGCAGCAATAAGGTGGCCATGATTCACAATTCGACTATTTTCACAATAATTTACCTATGATCTAGTATGCATAGAACGGCTGTTAACAGTTGTTCTTTCCGAAAAGATTATAGAATTTGCATTAAAC